TACCTAGCTGCGTTATCACGCAATATACCTTCATAGTTCCTACCTGCAGCAGTCGTTAAGGTTTTAACGGTTTCGCTAGGTTAGCTGCACTGCCACACGTAGGTGGCTAGCCACGTTACACGGAACCATACACGGCTTTGTTACCGGTTGCTCGAATGCTTCGAACTCCCACTACCCGCTGCTCGTTTCGACAGCGCATATTAAAAACATTGTATATACAGATACTGAGTAGAATTTTTCAATGGTTTTAATTTAATTTAGAATTTTTATAGTTTTTATCTACAAAAATTACCCTGTATTCTAGAGTACAAACTTAAAATATGCACACGCACCAACGTTCGAAGTGTCTAGCACAGTACGGGTGGAATTTCGATTTATAACAGAGCAATCGAGGCGGCATTACAGACTATAATTACGTATTACATTCGTACTATACTAACGACGTAACGTACTATACTAACGTGAAATGCACGTAATACTGGGCTACACTACACTATTATTATGCCGTGTGAAGCTGGTGGTGTCGCAGCATTAACTTAACTACAGCAAGATGTTGTAGAACAAATTATCGAAAATTGAAGACTTACTGTATGTCTAATACAAAGTTGCAAGAGTGTCCCATATTTCTGTCGTAAAGGTCCAGATACCACGTACGTGTTAAGCACGAAAGTTGCCCTATGAACGACTGGCACTACACTTCGTCTACCACAATGACAAATTCACTTCCCTCCAGATTTAAAGTAACTGTCAAGAAGAAAAATTAATTTAATATATTAGTATCGATAGTTTACAATTCTGATCGATATTTTTTGGCACGCATCAGACATCCTGCAAATGCTGATACAGTTTAACTGTTTAAGCAATGTGGCGTGGCGCGCCGTAGTAAAGAGTTTTTTGTAAATTGCGGGGCACGCTTGTACATATGCATACACGTAATGCAACGATTGATTAATGATAATTTTTTATATAGTCGATTTTGTTTAATCAAATATCTATACGTATTTAATTACTGTATATCTAATAAAAATTCTGGCAAAATTATTTTATGCGTCATCTGTAATAATATATGCGTAATCAGTGGAGAAGTGCGTGAAGATAATTGCATTTGTTGACAAATTACAAAAATTGCCACATCATCTGCACAAAGGAAACAGTAGCAATTAAATTTAACAAAGTAGATGGACGATAACACTGGCGTGCGGAAGTGATTGATTCCATTCGCGCTGGCTGCTGATTAAGCGATTATTCCGAGCATCTGTCGCCGGTCACACCTGACACCGGTGTATGCTATGTATACATAGCTCACGCGCTCGGTGATTGTTCTTCCCGTGATGTTTACCGATTAAGGAGAATACACGGTGGGAGGGGATCGGCGGTGACTATTACATAACCGATAAGCGGCTATAAACGGCGCACGCGCGCGCTACAAAACGGTAAACACCGGCAGACGAGCAAAGGTTCCTTTGTAGAAGAAAATCAATATAATTAGTTAATTACCAGCGCGGAGAACGTGCAGTAATTATTTCTCACAGCGTTGTTTATCGAGGGAAACGCAGCTAACGGCTTCAAGGAAATTATTAGTTGGAAATGGTGCCGCTTGGGAATTTTCTACTGTAGAAGAAATGATCGCGACCGTTGGCTAATTTGTGTTGATCGGTTGTGACATATTGCTCATATACAACACCAACATTCGGCGTAATGAATTACACTGTATTTTTAGCCGTTGCAATTGCCATTCCGGTCGTGCAACGGTTTTGCCTAATTTGTTATAACGGTAAATGTAATTACAAGTGTACACACACTGTGCGTAAATATCCTGACTCACAGACAATTTCCGTTACTGAAAATACACGAATCACCGCACAGCAATAACCCCCTTTGGAAAATGCCTCACGCACGCCAAAGCAGCATCTAACTCGTATTTTTAGCCGCGAGTTATACGGAGCACTTTCAGACGCGAATTAATTCCGACAGACTAATGTTGTATACGGGCTTACGCGCGCTCTGTATAGTCTGAACACCAGCATCCATGTATACACACACATGACACAACAATTCGCCGTAATCGTCGCCGGTCCCTGGTCGACCTTCAGCCGCGCTGTGGCGTTATCACACAACTGGCCAAGGTCACACCAAAGTCAGACACTTTATATGAATGTTGGCGAGCCGTCAGCGGGTACATGTGTTTACGGGCCGCGTTGTCGTATGGGTAACAGCGACGATTATTAAAAATACTCACTCGTCTCAATTGCAAAAATGGGTACATGCACACTTGTCGCGTCTCACGTGCCCCGATCATGTTGCGCGACAAACAGCCGAGCGGAAAACCGCTTCGCCAGTCTCGAACTTGCAGGTACTTTGATTAATTTATGTACAGTGTTGTGTGCTGTATGCGTGGAGTGTACATGACAAAAATTGTATACACGTTTATACGCACTTGATGAATAAATCGTTTACTTGGTAAGACACTCGGGTTTCCACCGCAACTTTGTTGTTGTTGCGTAAAACTTAAAACGGAACACGCGGTATCGCGAGGAATATTTGTCTGATTAGATATGTTGAGTAAAATTATTATGGTGGAAAATTTGTTACATCGAATCGGCACTAACAGGATGAACTGTAACAATATGATTACTTGGAATGATGAACAGTACATTAACGGCTTCAAATTTCCACGGGCGTTTTAAAATTCAAGTAGCAATTTCCTAGAAACAGTAACCAAATTTTGATACAGGTTTATATTGGACGAAAAGATGTGCACGGTCGTTTAAGCGTGCATTAAAAAAATGGTAATTAAATTTCTTATAAACCATGTAGTATTTTATTGAACAAAACCAACACAAAAATGTCGGAAGAAAATCCACTTGAACTAAAACTGAATTACGTCAGACCAACGACTCGCAGTTGAACGCGTTTCTGCGGCGAAATGCAAATGTGGTTATACGGTCGTATAATTGCTGCGACCGGGGCGTTTTTTGCATATAAGGGCCATGCGTCAGCGCCCGGATTCGGCGGAAGTGGGCGCGTTGTCAACAATTTCCCCGCGCTGCACTTGATTAGTAAATCAGCAAAAGCGGACGAGAGCTCGGCATACAACGCGATAAAACACAGTGGGAGAATTTTGCCGGGTAAACTTTTTTCCCGGCGCGAGCGCTTTCACAGACGTGCTGCGTTTTTCAAGGTCTGTGCCGGCAATATCAATGCGCGGGCCCAATCGCGCTGGACGGATCGATTTTTGCCTCGAAATGCGGGGAAAACATTCCAGACGGCTCTGTGCGTGATCCGCTTTGCTGGAATAGGCCGAAAGCGGAAAAAGAGAGCCAAGGGAAAAAAACTAGTTCAACGCCAGCACATCTGCGACGCGTTTGCGCTCGCGAGCCGATATGTCGCGAGTGAGAGCTGGCCGCTATCTATAATTAGTGCCGCGGCATTGTTATCATTCTTTGACGTCTTTCCGGCGCTCGATTAGAGGTTCTCGCTCCACTAACAACCATGGAGAAATTAATGACTGTCTGTACTATTTTTAAAATTTACTGAACTGACTACCGTAAGAGAGGCTTTAATTTTAGAAATAATTATATCAAATCCGAACCATTAATATTATTTATTTGGTTTTCGAAAGCAGTGCTAGAAAATTTATTGTCGGTTTCTTTCTTAATACCGAATAAAAACTACCTGGTAAAAAAAATTCAGATTTTTTACGCCATAAACAAACAAGGTTTAAAAAAAACAATGCAGCAATGATAACATGGAAATCACGGTCCCTTCCCATGTTAATTGGGACAAATTCTTCATTTGATCATGTTTGTTGAGCGAAGCTCGCCTTGCACATATTGAGAAATTAAAATAACATGGAAATAAAATAATACATAATCATAGTACATACTCATAATTAATAAAAAAAATACATAATCATGTATTATAACTAGTCATGTATTAATAACTGCATTATTGTCAGTTGCAGTTAGTGTTGTTGCTGTTGCGGTTAATGCTGATCAAAGCGGAAATACATTAAAACAGTATTCAAGTCTAATAAAATCTGAACGAAGTCTTAGTCAATTATTTTTAAAATTACTCATTTCGTTTTGATTAGAGCAAGGTTTCTAACCAAAATCTTTCTTTTCCATGATGCATAAAATCGAGCTTCATAATAGTTTTTATGACGCAGTAACTGATTTTATTAATGAATGAGTACAAGTTTTTTTTGAATCGTCGAGGTTTTTATGACGTGAAATGCCATCCGGGAGTATAAGTTAATTAGCCGCTAAGGGCGGTTGACACTGCGACGCCACTGCATGTTTTTCCACCACCGACTGCAGTATTACTAACGGAGCCCGTTCAATTAAAAACTTTTCGTTCTTGTCAGCTCGCAGCGCAATTTTTTCTGCTTTTCTCAAGCCGTTTGTCAGTCACAGAACCTTCTCTGCGCCAGTCATGCACAACGGGCAATCTCGCACAGCAATCTTTCCTTTTAGAATTTTTGTATCGATTCTAAAGCTAACCCCGGCCCGAACAATTGATCATGACCAGTACAGCAGACACACGGTGCACACGAGTGCACAAAAAACTCGCCCCGGCAAAAATCTATATCATGGCTGTCATTCACGCGATTATCGCCAGTCGTACGAGCGCAGCAGCGCCATAGTTCACATTGAGGCCAATCGATAAAGCCCGTCTGCTGATACTGAACGCGCTATATGACCGCATTTGAGCGGGTGTATTATTTTCCCTCTCTCTCTGGTCTGTTTCTCGGTTGATCTGTCTGCCGAGCAAGCGATACAGCAGCACGCGTTTACTCACGTACGTGCTGCCATTTTCTCACACACACCGAGGAAACTCAGTCAGTGGAACCAACGAGATTGTACGACCGCAACAGCAGCACAGCACGTGCCCCAGCCGGCTTTCGATCTGTGGCACTCGCCTGACTGCCACAACGCGCACTGTGTACCAAGCGCCTCGTACAAGCACCCTGTATTCGACCCCGCGACCAATCAGTACCGCTCCAACGTTGTCTGCTGCAACAACACACGTAAGTACGCACTCAACACACACACACAACGCTCAAACAGCAGCGGCCTCTCACACAACCAACCCCACACAGCATTCTTCATTTCGAGGCGATTAAGTAACTCTGGCATATTCCGACAAACACAGCACCGAAGTAGAAAATATAGCGGAAACTCAGGACGTATTATGTACAGGCGAGCGGTTTTCTGGATGACCACGGGAGAATCATAAACCTGAATCTTGTGTGTGCTGATTGAGTGTACAAGTGTATTGTATAATCGATGATGTCAGTGTCGGGCGCGGTGGATTATGGGAATGTACTGCAGATGCGCGCTGGGCCCGCACTCACGGTCTCCACCGCTTCCATGCTGCACCACCACCCGCTGCAGTCCGGGGCCGCCACGGCGCCCCTGCAGTTTGCCGCGTGGGAGACCCGCGAGTCCAGTCCGCTGAGTGAGGACGCCTCCGGCCAGCTCAAGGATCCCAACATGGAGCGGTATGTGTACGTCGCAATAAATCACACTAAAGTCTTACGTTGTCTGTGAGATGACGTCAGGGTTACTTGGCATTCGGGCGACCGTACGCGGAAAGTTCAAAACGCATAAACCTGATCTATCTAATGAGGTTTTTACGCAGAAAGTTCAAAACCTGATATATGGGGTTTTTAATCGCGATTCCCGGAAAGGCGCAACATGTTTACGGTGATGGGTTGTCCTGATTACGCTTAATTGATCAGGCAGTCAGTTTAGTTGTGACTTAATTATTCTTTCAACCGCGGCAAGTTTCCAGTAACAGGTCCAAAGAGCAAAGATTGTGGAGTGTGTGTACGTGTGAATGGGAATATTATTTAATTTCTGTTGAAGGCAGAGAAAATCGGTTAGGTTAGCCAAAAGTCACAGGCGTTACAAGTGTTATTACGCAGTTCCGTTCTGGAAATTGTTTGTTGTTTTGTGGCTGTGGCTCGAATGAAGTGGGCGTTTGTGTCATATAGTGGCAGTGAGCCGCTAAACAGCAGCCGGAAAAGCATTATACACTTCGTATATACTCACACGTATTCGGCCATCTCATGATCAGGCGCAGCCAGCAAGTCCAGATTGTGGGCATTGCATAACGGTCATGCTTGAGAAAAGAATGCCGGCAATTTGTTTTGGCGCTGGTGTGAAGAAAGCGCGAGCGCGCGCGTGGAAATTATTCTAACAAGTTTTTTTACGGTGTGCCGACATTTGCCGGACAATGACAATGGCAGAGAATTGATGCGGACGCTCTCGTCGTGGCCGGTATGGCGGCGCAAAAATTCTTCTGCCAGTGTTGTGCAGCGTTTCATAACCACGGCGTTAATTCACGGTGTTTACCTGGCACATGCAACACACGTCGCGTATATGCTACACAGAGAATAAGAGAATCATTATGGTTACGTAGTCCGTTCTGACCAGCATGAAAATTGTTGGTGCCGTATCGCTGCCAAGTAACGCTCTCTCACACTCTCACACACAGCAGCTACTCACAATTCAACACACATATACAACAACCGTTGCATTTTTCAGAACGTTGAACTTTTCCACATCGCCGCATGACGACGAGTATGGATACGGGAAAAAGAAGACGGCGCCACGGGTGAGTCTATATTGTCTCGAAAAAACTGATCAGAAAACTATGGTTTGGTAATTAGTCAGTTGAAAAAAAGTGCCGCGAGGGAATTGTGTGCGACTTGTAAAACATTTTCCCACCGTACAACGCCCATCAGCAGCATGCTTCATTATTACATAAAGTGTTTTGCACTTATCTTTCCGCTCTCTCTCTCTGAATCGCTTCTCCGACTAAGCGCCGGTAAAAGTGCCGCCGTAAGCGGAAAATGAGAAAAACGTGAAACGCTCCCCAACCGCCGCCCTTGAGCGGACGACCCCGGCTGTAATTTGTTTGCCGCGTTTATTGGGCCAATTTTTTCTCTTCCCTTCTACCTTGGTGCATCCTTGTTGTCTCGGTGGAATTACACTGAGCTTTACCGCTAAGCTGTTCTATCGCCGTATTGATGACGCAGAAATCGACCCGGATCCCAGTGTAATCCCGGGTGCACGTGCCGTTTCGGGGAATTCAGCGCTGCATACTGCTGTGCAGGCAAACGTATATATTTTCCCTCTTTGCGCGGCCGCACCTTCACCGTACATACGCGCATCCTCTCCAGCCGCGGCATTGATCTGCCCCGGCTTAAAAGGGGAATAATTGCCGGGAGACCGGTTTTGCTCCGGTGTAATTTTTCTCCCGAGCGGCCAGTATATGTGCGCACTGCCCTCCATAACGATCAATACTATTTATCGGTGCGCACGTGTGGTTTTACGTGTGGGCAATTAACGAAAATCCGCCGTTGATCGGCGTCATCCTATACCATGGTGCAAAAGGTTTCCCGGGAATTTTCGCATGGTCGACTAGAAGATGGGCTATTGTTTGATCCCGGGACATGTGCCGTCTTTTACAGTCGGTTTCATTTCCGCTCATTAGAGGCCCGCTGACGTAGAGGCGTGTGTGCTGGAAAAGGCAGTTGATCATTAGTTTGTCTGTAGCTTTAACTGCCACGCCGGAAGCGGCAAATTACATTCCATTAGGGGAAAATGATGGCCGGTAAAAATAGCAACTCGGCCGGAAGAGTGCGCACTGTGCCGTTTGGATTAAAGATCCGAGCAGAGTTATGCAAGATTCGCCAAATTGTCGATTTTTTCTTAGGTTTCTTAGGTTTCTTAGAAGAAAATTCGCCGATTTTGTTACTTTACTTAGGTTTTTAATATTTCTAAGAGAATATTCTTTTATATGGCTGATTTATATTTTTTATTAGGCTTCTAATATTCCTCGAAGAAGATTAATTAAAAACTGCAGAGTTTCTAATTTTTTTCAGGGTTCTTAGATTCATTAAAATTGTCGACATCTGCTTTTTAATCTTAGATTTCTTAGATTTCTAAGAAATATTATGCACTTAAAATGCGGGCGACACAAAATTACGCAAGGCGATTATATCACATGCCGCGCGCTCACGGTCAGTTGCGTGCTATTACGTAAACGCGTGATGGTCCCCTTCAGCCGGGCCGCCTGACCATGGCATTGGTCGGCAAAGGGGCTTAAACAAACGGGCCACTCAAGGTCTGCCTTGAACGCGGCCTCACACATCATACGCATGTTCACGGTCAGATTCCGTGGCTGCCTGCCTGTGTGTGTGGACGGATCTTGTGTGTGTATACGTGTGATTATTGTCTGACACCATAAGCCAGCCACTGTGGAGAACAATGCGCCGCTCTCTGATGTAATCGCTGGCTATTCAGAGCGCGCCGCATACAGTAGCCGCATCATGCGGATGGTGTTGCGTGGATATGGGGGCCAACCTTGTGCGTCTACTCATGCGCGCCCGATTGCCGGCATGCTGCAACATCTGTAGCGTCAGCTCAGAGAGCCGATTACCGCACACAGCTGGTGTGAGCCCTTCAGGTGACCTCGATTTGCTACTGTTTACTCACTCAGCCGAGCTGTCGTATGACCAACACTCCATATAGGCTCTCTCTCGCTCGATGTGGCCGTTTTTAAAATTGGATTAATCCGTCTGAGAAACGCAACTGACACATTGCCGTAGTCGAACATATTACTTCATTTTTGTATGAAACTTGGCAGAAGGAAATTCTTATAAGATACCGCAAAATTTTGAAACCACTTAATAGATTTTTTAATACTACAATTTATTAGTAAAACGTAGGTGCTACGTTTTTAACGCATAATTGCGCACGCACATATTGAACTTTCTTAAGTTTCTTTGGTTTCTCAGGTTTTCCTATGTTTCCTTGAACTGGAAACCGATTATAATTTTTTACAGTTCCACATAATTATTACTTGCCTACTTGGTAATAAAGGTTATCTCACTATGATAATCAACCTACTTAAAATCAAATTCAACAAAATTTGCCGGCATAACCATTTGCCTGCCTTTCTAATAAATTTATTTATTTATTTAATAATTCGGGATTGGGTCAGCAACAGCAGTGACATTGAAAGTAGGTTGAGTATCCGATTAAACAATAGTCTCCCGGTGCATGTCGGTCTTCGGACGCCGACGCGCACCGTCAACGCTTATTGCGGTGTTAGGTAGACGCGCACACTCCAACTCCCGGCGCCGCATTTAAACCCGGGCGCGGCCTCGTTCCCGGTATCAAACGGGGATAAAATAAAAGTGGGAGCGCGAGAGTGCGCAGTTAGATGGTGTTTGTTCGTGCTCGACCGAGGGCGAACAGGCATCAATCAGCGCCGGAGCTAAAACCAGGCTGGGCGCCTTAATTGCTCTCTTCCCTCTTTCTCTCTCCCCGCTCCAAATCCTGGCCGTTATAGCGCGCCACCCGGCGTCTGGCGGCGACTGATCATGGCGGGATCGATCGTGCGATGTTGCGCGCGCGCGAGTTCAGTCTGTTCTAACCGCGGTGAAATGGGTCATTTTGGGGCGGACGTGCGTCCGTTTGCCCGTGGTGCCAGTGTATGTAATATACCGCTACTCGTGTGCCAATGTTTTTGGGTCATGTCAGCTCTGTCGGCGTTTTTCTCTCTCTCTCTATGTCTTTCTCATGCTCAATTTTTTATTATTTTTCCACTCTTTTCAGAGTGAGTGTTTTCGCAGTGAGAGGGAGAGAGTGTTGTGTGTGTGCAGCTCTTGGCCTATTTCGTAATCAGGCAGCCGCGCGCTCGCGCGGAGATATGACGCGGCGTTTATTTGTAGTGCTCTGTAAATATTTCCCGCCGTTAAACGTTCTGTTTCGCCATTTTTACTGCTCTATATTCTGCGCCGCTGTGGAGCTCGGCTAACGGCTTATGTAATACACCACCGCCATCAACGCCATCTTTTAACGCCATTATAAAAATATAATATCCGTCCGCCATTAGTGCGGGCGCGCTATGTGTGTACTTTAATAATTGACCATTTACCTTTCGAGTTATTCCCGCGCTGCACCCCGATTTCATCCCGATTTTAAAAATTACAATCAACCATAAAACCACTCAATTTCCTACAAAACAAAAATCTTTCACTAAATAATTGTTTTCTTCTAAACTTGTAAAATTGTAAATTTTCTTAAAAGCACTGAAAACAATTTATATGAATTTCTGTTATAATAGCATACAATAAAAATAGTCCCGATTTTATTCCAGTTTAACAAATTCTTAATCATCAACCAAAGTATCCAAAATTCCTCAAAAAACGTACATATTTAATTAATAATTTGTAATTCTGTTTAATGGTGTCGCATTAGTTTATTTAAAGTGTAAGAAATATTTTATACGAATTTCTTTGGATTCTCAACGAGTCGAAGGAAATAATTGCTGCCCTTTCGGTGCAGTCACATTTCCGTTAATTATATTACTGCGCCCGGCGCGCGTGCAGCACATGACCCGAGTATTTAATTTGAACTCCTGTGAATTACCGCCGATAATGCCATTTTCTCCAGTTCCCAACGGAACCGGTATTGTGCTGGGCCCACGTGAACCTCCCTTCATACACTAGCAGCGCCCGCATCGATCTAATCAACCTTAAAGCTGAACTTTATACACCGCCCGCTGATTGTTTTTGCACCACGCGCGATCCTTAATAAATACCCCCACAACTCCCGGAAAAACCAGGCTCTTTTTCCCGTGAGCTCATTTCCGGGAGAGCACTGCCTGCATTTTCCGTAAACAGGCAGAGAAAAAGTCTTCACACGAAAAGCCCGGGTTTTTTCGCTGGTAAAGCGGCTTTTCTCCCGGTTGCGTGCGTGCGCGTGATCCCATTGATCACTCAGAAAAAGGAAGAGAGAGGGAAAAAACGGGATCGATTAGGGAATGTGCGTCAGCGTGCGCGCGCGTCCTTGTTTGTCTGCTCCTGCGGCTTGAACGGATAGAACGAGCGAGCGCTCGGGAAACGTGCAAACCCGGGTATCCGCTGATTAGCCGTGCACTGTGATGACGCAGGCGCTTGTTTACGCCAAATGGGATTTAATGGCAGAGGGATGACTGGCAGCCATATATGCGTGGTGTACATGACAGTGCGCGGATTTATGTTTTATATGTATAATTATACCGGACCGTTTCGTCTGCACTTTACAGTATGCCGGGGTTTGTTTTTCTCGCTTCTGGTTTTCGCCGAATTCTGTTGCGAGCACATGGCGCTGCTTTGACTCGGTTGGAAGGTACTTGACCGAAGTTCAGTAGTGTGTGTGTGTGTGCGTTATGTCATAGCGCCTGCCAACAGCGCGTTTGTGTGCCAAAGCGTTTTGGTTATGCAACGGCTAGTTGTGTGTTTAAACTGGGTATGAATGCGTGTGTGTGTGTGGCGACACAGCGTAATCGGCTACTTTGTAAAGCGGCGTAAAGGAGGGGCGTGTTATGATGGGAACCACGGCCCATCCAAATTGTGATGGTCATCATTAGCGCTGCACGAAGCCACTTCAGCGAGAGAAAAAAACGAGGCAGATTTCTGAATAAAAATTTAACGACTCATCGATCAATAAAAACAGCCGCCACACTATTATATATTTTTATTAAAGACTAAAAACACCTCCAGAAAAAATTTAAATCAAATTAATAATATCAACGACACATTGAATAAAATTAAAGAAAAAATGATTTTTAGTATACGTATAAAACTTTTTTATAGTATTTTTATATCTGAGTTTTTTTTGCACGAAAAAAACGGATGTACGGAAATTATAATCTTTTCAAACTAGTGATTTACTTCTTGGCTTCGATGCGTTGAACGATTGACGGATCTGCAACGCAAGATATCGGCAAACTTAGCCGGAAAAACGGAATCGGAAACCCGAGAAAAATTGTCGGTTTAAAGCGGGCGCTGACGCAATAAGTGGCGCGGATTACATAAGACCGCGGCGCCGAGGCCAAACGCCGCAGCGGTCACACACAATGTCCTTCAGTGACCCTGTTGGGCGGTCAAGCCGGCGTGTACATGCACACAGTACTACACACACGCAGCCGTCCGTGATTGATCACGTTTTCGACAGCGCCGCTGCGTTTACCGAGCGGTCAGTGCCGATCACGTCCCCATCACACGCTGCGCCCGGCTGATGCCGGCGTGTACAGGGCGCTATATGTACTGTACTGTGTACACGGCGTTTGTACTGTACAAAATTTAATGTACATTGTACAGACGTCATTTGTATCACATTCTGCTGAGTACGGCGGATAAGTTCTCAACCGGACGTGTATCGATTGTGTCGTGTTGTGTTCCGCTTTCAAGTGGGCATCACGTGGTGCTAGGCGGTGAAACCGGGCGAAGGGTCCTCTCGTGAAAAAACTGCAGCGTTTTCTTACGTAAACACCGCGTGCGTGTTTTGGTGCTTTGTATACGCCAAAACACCGACCGAAGTGCGGTTCCGTGTTCCGTTCCAGGATTTTCTGATTTACCGAAGCGCGTTTTTGCGTGTACAGAGAAAAATTGCTTTTTTAAAAATAATTAATTATTAGAATAAATAAAAAATTATTTCTGTGAAATTTCCGAAATGACCCTTGAAATAATTTAGTTCCTACGAGTAGTAAAATTTAATTTAATTAAAAAAGTTAACCTGAGCCGGTATTGCTTGCCGAAATTATAAAAAATATATTCGAATAAAAATAAAAAGTTACTGGAATACATAACAGATTCAATAGATTTTATGTTAATTTATGAAATGCAGTAGTAACACTTTACGATTTAATCAAATTAAATACTTAATTAAAATATCGCAGAAGAAATTCAGTTTCTGCTGTGTAATCTATTTTCACGCCGGCGTTTCCTGTCGAAATCGTGGAAAACAAAACAAATTGCGCATCCAGGTCGAAATTAAATATTTATCGTGTGTACGATATTGCAACGTGGTGTTTAGAATGAAAATATTGCGTGTTACGTACACAACAATCAGCCGGCATCCTCTGGCCGCTATGACGTGCAGCGTGTTGTTGCACGGGGCATTTTCCGACGGGTACCGCGTGCGCCGATGACATCACCACACAATCACAATGTACAATTGTATCGCAAGGCAGTACATGTCAACAATGCGTCAGCCGTTGTGCGACAGCGGAAATGACTCGCGTTTCCCCGTGATCACACACCCTGTGTATTGACTATGGGATATACGAATTACCGAGTCCCGGGTTAAAAATAATCCCCCGTTAATCGCTCCGCCGGCACCGTGCTTAAATTAGGCTAATTGGACGCGGCCGCTGCGTTGATTACGCGGCCGTGTACAGTATATATATAAACATCCGTGACCGTTGCACTCGCAGCGTGCGTCAATTACACCCGGCAATCGAGATGAGTGTTGTGTTGTTCCATTGCAGGATCCCATGTCCCATCGGATTATCGAGAAACGCCGGCGGGATCGGATGAACAACTGTCTGGCTGATCTCAGCCGGTTGATACCGTCGTCCTACCTGCGCAAGGTACGTGTACGTATTCATCGGCAACCCTAGTGTTTTTCCAATAGTTAAATTTCGAATTATTTGAAAGCTGATTTTTAACGGATGCTTTTTTGCTGGATAGGGTCGCGGGCGGATTGAGAAGACGGAGATTATTGAAATGGCCATTAAGCATATCCGCTATCTCCAAAGCAAGCTTCCATCGCGATTTCAAAGTGAGTGCGGCTACCATGATTTAATTATATTTTTTTTATTGATTTTTTCTATATGATTTTCAGTTGAATTAGTATATTTTTTCTGTGTTGTTTTTATTTTTATTTAATTTTGTTTATTATTGTTTGTTTATGTATTTATGGGTATTTTGTGATTACAGCGGATGTGGAGCACGTGAGTCCCTCGGAATCTCCGACGCCCGAGAGCAAAGACAACACCGGCAGCAGCACCAGTCGCAGCTACGCCGAAGGCTACAAGGACTGCTTCGTGGAGTTACTGCAGTTCCTGGTTGATGTCGAAGGCTTCTTCGTCGGGGAGGGCCTGTGCAGCCGGCTCCTCAACCACACCCAGAACGCCCTCGACCGAATGGGCCACGATATAGGTAAGCCGCTACTTCCGGTCACCATTAATTAATATTATCAAAATAATTATTATTCTTATTGGTAGTACATATACAATTTTTACTTTTTAATTTAAATATCAGGGTAAAATAAAGCGTATAAAACAAAAACTGATTATTTTAATAAGTACGTCTGTTTGTTATTACGATATTTAATATTATGTTAACCGAATGCACTGTATTTTACTACAGTAGGCCACTGGAAAATCCTAAAGAAAGATTTGGGTTAATTTTATGAAATAATAGTAAAATCAATGACATCGTGACAGCCGCTATCTTTTGGCAGATTTAAGGGAACACCTCCCACCGGACCTTCTGCAGCCGCTCACCAAAAGCCGTCGCGATTCCTCCATCGAGAGCGAAGCCCGTATCGGGCACTTACATCACCACCACCACCGCGGCAGCCAAAAACTGGAGGTCACCCCGCTTATCAACGGCCACCGCCCGCGGGCGCTCTCCCAGTCGGACATCCGCGGTATCCGCATTACCAGCGACTACGATTCGGAGGCGGAGATGCACGCTTCCGGCGGCAGCAACAGTCCTAACTCCTCCGGGAACAGCGGCAACTCGCAGAGCAAAGGTGGCGACGCGGAGTCGGCCGCCTCCAGCCAGCTGAAGGAGATGCTGCAGAGCCCCTTCCACACGTGGGGCCGCAATTACCGCCCGGTGGGCGGGCAGCAGGACGCCGCCGACGGGAAGACCGAGCCGGCCAGCTCTACCGCGGCCGTCCGCAGCGCCTCCCCGACGTCCACATCCGCCAAAGACACCACCGACGCCAAAGAAGGAGCCCCGTACAGCTTCAAACGGACCATCAAGGAGCGCTTCAAGGAGGAGCTGCGCCGCACCAGCGACCCCGAGATCAAAGTGGAGGAGAGCCCGATACTGTTGGGCAAACGGCGCCCTGATTCCCGTTCCTCCGGATCCAACGAGAGCATCGACCGCGAAGGCTCCTTCGACTCCTTCCCTGCCGACTTCGTGGCCACCGCCCACAAGCGGCGGGCCTCCGGGTCGCCGGCCGTCACCTCCTCCTCGACGGTGCCCATCTTCGCGCTGCATTCCTCCGGGGCCTACTACGTCCCGTCGTCCCTGGCCACCCACCTCATCGAGTTCGAGCCGGACGCCAAGGTCGGTCCGCATTCCATCTGCCACCCGGTGACCATCAACGTCAACTTCTCGGTTACGGCCACCACCCACAGCGGTCCCAAGCCCACCTCCACCAGCACCCCCAACCTCCACCCGTCATCGGCGGCCGCCGGACCCGTCCCGACCTTCCCGCGGCCCATGTTTCTGACCCCCCAGCAGGCGGCGGCTTCCTTCCTGCAGACCCCGCTACCGTTCGTCCCCGGGAGCACCGTCGGCTCGCTGCCCTTCATCTGCCAGGTCCCGGGCGCCGTGCAGCACAACGCCACGGTCATCCAGTCGGCCACCTCCGGCGGGAACATGGTGATGCGGCGCGGCTCCCTGCCGGTGACCCCGGCCAGCCACCACAAGGAGCCAGTGCTGGCGCCCATCCACTACGCGTTCCCCACCTCCCACAACCATCCTCCGGGGCCGCCGCCCACGGGCGGGAACACCACCCGCACCTCGCCCCACATCCTTAATCTGTCGCAGCCGCATTCGCGGTTGTAGCCACCACCCTTGCGATGGTGACCTTAAACACGCGGGAATGCAGCGGACGTGCGTAACGTCAAAATGAGTGTCGGTGTATAGTGTGTACAATTCTGTGTGTATTATAGTTGAGTTTTTAATTAACTATCCGTGACAGTGCACAATGTGTTTTTTTTCTTACACAAAACAAAACACTGGCTGTTGTGTTTCCTCGGTTCTCCTGTTTTTACTTTTTGATTGATTATTGGTTTTTTTCTCTGTGTCCGGTCGCGTCCCTCTCCCTGTTGTGAAATATTACGGCAAACGTGGTTTTAATCGTTTTGTTTTTGTAATTTTTCTTTTTCCGGGAGGATCCGCGGTTTTTTGATTTTCTGTTTCCAGAGACCTTTCTCTCACTCTCGACGGAGACCGTCTTTTGTTTGTTTTAGCTGTCGCTGTACAGTGTCGTTTGCTCTATTTATTGCTTTTGGGGACTGTTTTTATTTGTTTCTTCTATGAGGAGATTCTGTGGCATATAGTTTTCTTTCTTATATAATTACGAGGTATCTGTTATCCAGATATTCTATGAGATGTAGCGGTTAAAAATAATGATCACTATCAGCGACGCCGGTGCTTGATGCAATGCTTTAAGCAGAGATTTTCAATTTTTCAGTCGGACTCATAGACTCCACAGTAATTTAAAGAAAAACAGAATTTTTTAACATGCAACCATCGCAATCACGTCAGCGGCTGTATAAATGAACAATTTTTTGTATATAAATGAGCAAAGTTTCAGCAGCAGGTTCCCGTAAAGCACGAAAGAACTGTTTCCAGTGCTTTCTGGTCTGGATTCGGCAAAACAAAGAAACCTGCTTCCGGTACGTGCAGTTCGCGTGGACGATCTTGCAGTTTCTATCAGATACTCTTTGAAATGTGAAAGAACATTAGGGAGCTTGGGACACATACTGTTATAATTATCATTGCTAAGTTTTTTTGGCTCACAGAGATGATGAATAGCCCCATACCATTTTGCAAAAATTTGGTTTATTAAACTGTAAAATACTATTACTCACCCCCAAATGCATCGTTCGATTCACACGTATAAAGGATGCAATCTCGGATCCGAAGAATTGGTAGCGTTGTAGAAGAAATCGGTGAACTGGGCGAGCCTTTTTCCGGTGTAGTTGGTTTGCTGAGCTAAGGCTGTTGTCTGTTTATCTGAGTCCTTGGTTAGCATCATCGCCGCCGTAAAGTTACAGATAGCAACCAGAGCCTAAGAAATTAAACCGTAATTTAAATTTATCAGACGCTAGGTATTTATTTACCATGGCTTTCACGTGCGAAGGTTATCAGGTCAGTGTTAACTTTATTAAAGTGCGTCTAACGTTCCGCTGACGTCTGCCTGGGCGTGGGAAGTAAAGACTACGTAAAACTACATACTACATAATAGTATTTCTGTACATTACATATCTGTACATACTACATAACACTTCTGTACGTAGGTGCTACGTATTAATATTTCTGTCGTCTCGCACAGTTGAACAACCATGCTATCAGAGGCTGCCATAAAGACGGCTGTCCGTGGGTATCTCAGCGAAGGGAGGGCGGCCAGATGAAGTCTGAAAGAATTTCCTGTTGAGGAAATTCTGAAAAATGGCGACGGAGCGGAATCGAACCGCTGGCTACCGACTGTGTGATCCACGTAGCACAGCCACTGTGCCATCGCCGTTGTTGGCTGAGATCAAGATTTTTGTGCTTGAGCTTGAGACAACCAGGTAGACGGCGGATGGGGCGGCTGTCCTGAGGGCAGAGCCTTCTACTCTGACAATGCCGATTCATGCTGCTCTTTGAATGCGAGACCAGTGTATAGAACTTAAAGTTAAAGCACCGCACCTTCACGAGACTTTCAACAGAAAGCGATGCCTTGAATGCTTCCAAGTCGCCCGCTGCGTTTGCCAATGTTCTTATCACCGCATCGGCAACATTCATAAGCTGTTGATGTCCCGGGACGTCGGACGACCGAATCTCCTTGGCGGTCGATCTTAAGCGCGAGACCTGCTCAAAGACGAAACGCAGTTACGCTTCGTAATGCACTGTAAGGACGTGATGCATTACTGATAATCAGTTGTACAAAAAGAAGCTGATAAATACATACAGCGCCAAACAAAGACTGCAGAAATTTTCATAATTAGTGCATGCATGAATTAATTGACTTGTGTATAAGTCACATCACGCTTCCGGTAGGATTTGTACTAGGACATCATCCACCAATTAGCGCAACGTAAGCCCAAGTATTCAATGCAACGCGTTTACATACAGAGTAAACATGATGTCATACTGAATGCAACAACGAAAAAGGTTTAGAAAAGGTCGCATCCACACCGGTCGATTGAGTAGGCAGTGAATTGTGCCTTAATCACGCGTGCGGGATTTGGATAAGCTGATCTGCTGAGCGGCCGGCCCAATATGGCTGTGACCTTTCCTGTCTATTCTCGTTGTTGCGTGTACGCGCTTTATTGAGCTTTGTTACTAGACGAACGAAATACTGTACATTATCGAAGCAATAATTGCGGACTTAAGGAAGCATAAACTAGCTTTTTGTACATGTCTGAAGTTACCTCGTATACGAAGAAGTTCCAGGCGAAGAAATCTATGCCGTTGCACATAAGGGCACATGCGGGAAAAACCAAATCGGAGAGATTGATTGTGCCGGTTCCCGACAGATAAAGGATAACAAAAACTGCTGCGGAAACGCCATATATATACAATAGAAAAGATGTGGAAGTCATAAGGTCACTAAATTTAAATATAAACCGCATAATGTTATCGAAATCCTCACACGGATTATAAATTTGGTTGGCGCCTAAATTTTGAGTCTCCGATATTTTAATAATCGATAACAATGCTTTCTCCATCCTGCGTATTTTAAAAGCAACCGGAAAAATGGCCGCTCCAAAAAATGGCCGCTCCAAAAACTACCGCGACAAAACAGCACGATGCGTACTGGAATAAATTATTCGTTGAGGATATAGCAAAAACCGTCAAAACGGTGGACTGTAATTTTTTAAATGGGACTGCGTAACAATATGCTGCATCGTCCCAATGCAGGGCCTCTGTAGATTGGACAAAGACCAGCATGCATTCGATGCCAGTAAACATACAGGCCAAAGCGACGATTATTCCACAGCCATTCCACACACTTGATACAAACGCGTCCTGAGGACGCGCCATTGCGCGCTCAAACCGACTGCCGGTGTCCCTTAATCTCAGCATGGAGAAAAAGGACAAAGCCATAAGAAACACGGGCAGTAAGAGAAGGGATATTTGAAAAGCGAGGGTCACAACTTGAAAATACGAATTCTCCGGAATCGTTAAACAGGCATGTACGATGTTAGCAAATGTTATTATTATTATTATTATTATTATCGTACTACAGTAGCCAAACTCCATTACGGAGACTTATTACCCTCAGGTGAAAACCGTTGGGCAAACCAGGCTATTGGAAAATTTTTTTGTTTATTTTGAAAATTTTATACTTTTTTTGGTTTGATTTTATGAGATAAAAGTTACCCACCTAGGAATCGAACCCAGGACATACAATCTTAAAGCCAGACGTACTACCACCAGGCTATGGGCAATTAACATTAAATGTATGATTATTAAATGTATGATCATATACGACATAAAAAGTAACACCACGACAAAGGATGTTTTAAAAAAATGTGTGATAAATATGAACCTTAGTACGGCCAAAATCAGTGAAATAAGTCGGGAATGACCTATACGCACCAAAACAATGTATGACCACTGACGGATCATTGTGACCATTATATCAAATGATCAGCCGGGTTGGGATATAAATATTGAAATGGCAAAATTTAATGGAAACAAAACACAGACTACATACATGTATATGTAGAAATATCCGATAAGATTGCCGGAAACATCAGCTTGTGCATGTAAATATGGTGAGAGAGGATAGGATGCCTTTACTTTGGTTCTTGACTGTACGGCCAGACAACAAGAAAGTGACTGTGTTGGCCCGGCCTTCACAGTCACTCTGTCTGGCTGTAAAATCTTTGTCAACGTTATTTCCATGATATTACACACGTCCCAAAGGACATCTGACACTACATATTGAATTTCGTTAAGCGGTCAGGTAATATTTGATGCAAGTCAGACGACATGGATCGCTAAGCCCTACTGAATTTTTTCATGATTTATGATTTACTTGGCGCATTTACACACTCAAAATTTTACCGTGCGGAAGTCCTCACTCAGCCGCTGTGAAAAAGAAGGAACTACGTTTTAACCATTAACTTCACGTATATTCTCTTACCGTTTACGCGTATTTTAACAAATTCAAGCTCGACGTTTGCGTAGTGCATGCCTGCAATTCCATGGTCAGTACAACGGTACTGTAAATACTAAATACATTACTTATAACAGAGCAGGCCTGTATGCTGGCGAATGTACTGCATTGGTGTAGGTGTGGGTTGATGAATGTACTGCACTGGTGGACTAATGGCGATTGAGACAATTTATTTATTGATCACATTGCTCTACAGTATACATCCACCGGTAGATCAACAATACTGCTGCACACGCTGCTGAGTTAAGACTGGAGAATGGTGCATCAAACGAAAATAAGGGATTGGTAGAAACTGAATGGTGTCACATGCACATCACGCTCTACCAGGCACCGGAAACAAAATGTACAGAGCACAGCACGTGGAAATATCCGTAAAAGGGCGAAAAAAAACAGATCAGAAATGCAACTTTTATGCATTGCTGATATCTGCCGGCTGAAGTGTGGCGTTGCGGTGGCATATTTCTTTAAGAATTTGGCGCGGTATACTCGTTTTTAACAACAACGTCACATTCCTCGTTGACTGACTGCTGACGTACAAACAAATGGTGTTTCTGATAAAATTAATACGGTTTTATAACTTTTGCACTATCTCCGTAGAAATACATGTCCATGTCGAATTCAAATATTGTCCTTTTTATACTCGCAATCTCGTACCAAACAAGCTGATAACTATATTAAATTCTTCTTTACAAACAGCTGCATTGCTAATCTACGCACCGACGGCGGGTTTAGTCACTTTTTGTACGAGCGCCGCGGAGTTGTCACAAAGCTCACCGGTCCCATTGTGAGACTCTTATCAAGGTATTAAGGTTAATATTAAGGGTTTAAAATCACAATTATTGTGACTCGTGAGAAGAATTACACGTAAAACTTTCTTGAAAATCGAGTAGCATGCTGGATTCAGGTGCCCGGCTGTCGAAACATGCTACATACCGTATATTGGTGTACCAAAATGGTCAAAGAAAATCCCTAACAGCAACACTTTTAATTTCGAATACATTGATCATACGATATAGGCGAGTGCAGTATGCCTTCAAAATTCTCTTATTTTGGCACAGTTATAAGGAAGGTTATAATAAATTATTCGTTTTATCGATGACCGAATTATGCCTTGCGATGCCCGCTGCCGACTTGCGATATATTCATATTTCACAACTTCGACCTCTGTACAGTACTACTGACTGTAACTGCAAAGCATGATTTACAGTACTGCCCTTGAAAGTTCGGCCATGAATGGAAAGATTGAAAGAAGTTTAAAAAG